CTTCCATAAGTCTATTCTCATTTTTTATTATTCTTCTTTCTCTCTGCTGTTCAGCTTGGTTGCTTTCCATTACTCTGTCTTCCGGGTCACTAATTTGTTCTTCTCTCTCCTCTGATCTTCTATTAATTCCCTCTAGTCCTTTTTTAATTTCAGTTATTATCTTCTTGTTCTCTAATTGGTTCTTTTTTATATTTTCAATCTCTTTTTGAATGTCTCACTAAGGTTCTACACTCTTTTCTCAAGTCCAGTGAGTATCTTTATGACCATTACTTTGAATTCTTTATGAGGCATATTGTTTATCTCCATTTCATTTAGATCTTTTGCTGTGGCTTTATATCTTTCATTTAAGAAATATTCCTATGTTTCTTCATTTTGTCTGACTCTGTGTTATATATTAGAGAAGTCGGGTATATTAGGGAAGTTTCCTGGTCTTGCAAATCATGGCAGTCTTTGGAATTAAACCTAGTAAAGCAATGTAGTAGGGGAAAACCTTCAAGAAGAGACCAGATATTTATTTGGTCTCTTCTATTGTTTTCTTTTAAAGAAAGTTAATAAAGTAAGTGATGGGCAGTAGAGACTAAGGGCTGTTCTTGCAGTAAAACAGCTGGATCAGTAATATACCCATATTGACAATAAGTCACTGGTACAGTTAAGGGAAATGTAGACTTAGTATTAACTAGTTTAAATAAAGTGTAGATTTTGTTAAATGGAGGATTATTTTCAGTTAGAGATTGGACAAACAATTTGTAGGATACACTAGTTGACCAAAAAAAACCCTCCAAATATCTATAAAGCCATATTAGGTAGTAGAACTAGAGCTTTAGCAAATCTCATTAGAATGTGAATTGTGTACACAGTCCCATGCAGGTGCTCTGGGAGGCACAGAAATGAATGGAGCTTATAGGCCAAGAAGGCTAAGTATGGGCAGCTCTGGCTGGTATAATGAGGTATACAAACCTCATGCTACAAGTAGCTCAGAGACAGAGCAGTTGCTTCTGTTTGGTCTACCAAAGATCATCAGGGAAGACTCCATAAAGATGTGGTATTTGAAATGGCCAGTACAAATGAGCAGGATGTTAGTGGTTGGAAGTGAGAGAAAGAAATGGGGAAGGAAGTACACAGGAACCCAGGACATAGTCAGAGAGTTGAACATGGCTGGTTTGGCCCAGAGCATGAAAAGATACTGGAAGGTAAGATAAGAAGAATTGGTTTAGACAAGATGAGCAGAAGCTTTGACTTCTAAACTAAGTAATTTAATCTTTTAAATATTTATTGAGAAGCTTCTAAACCTTTTAGGACTGAAGGTGAGATGAACAGACTCTCATTGTTGCCATTATCTTACTACTGCATATCAGATAAGTTTGCATGGAAAATCTGGAAGCAGGGAGATAACTTAGGTGGAATTTACTATAACCTGGGAAAGAGGTGAATGATTAAAGGAATAAAGTATTGGGAATGGCCTAGAAGGGATAAATATGAAAAATATTTATCAATGCAAGGGTAATTTGTGTTTTGTACTAGTGACCAGAGAAAAGACAAATGAAATATCTAATTTGAGGTAGGAAAAAAAAATTATTTCAGATAAGAGACATATCAAGAAGGCAATTAGTAATGTAGGAGTAGACAGAGAAAGACAAATATCATATGACTTCACTCATATGAGGGCTTTAAGAGACAAAACAGATGAACATAAGGGAAGGGAAACAAAAATAATATAAAAACAGGGAGGGAAACAAAACATCAGAGACTCTTAAATATGGAGAACAAACAGAGGGTTACTGGAGGGATTGTGGGAGGGGGCATGGGCTAAATGCGTAAGGGGCATTAAGGAATCTACTCCTGAAATCATTGTTGCACCATATGCTACCTAACTTGGAACTAAATTTTTAAAAAAAATTTTTAATTAAAAAAAAAAAGAAATATAGGACTAGAGTTCAAGGAACAGACTAGGTAAGTGTCACAAAGGAAAAGACTAAGGACAAAAATGGCAAAGCCAGACCCTTGGGCAATACCTACCACCCTTTATGTTAGAAACTTATAGTGTTGACACTATTATCATTTGGGGCCAGATAATTCTTTATCATAGAGTTCCGTCTTATGCATTGTAGGTTGTTTATCAGTTTCTATGACTTCTACTCACTTAGATGCTAGTAGCTACCTCTGATTTTGACAATCAAAAAGATCTCCAGACATTGCCCAGTGTCCTTGGAGAACAAAATCACCCCCGTTGAGAATCATTACTTTATATGAGTAAAGATGTAAACACAAAATAGTCATCAGATATTACTTCTTGGTCATTTTCTCAAACATTGTAAATATAACAATTTTAGCATTAAATATTAAAACATATAGGCCAATGCATGGGTAGCCATCTATAAAAAAAGATACTTGTTATAACATTGCACCTGTGGTTGGAATTTAAGCATAAACTGGCAGGTAGTGTCCTCTGTCACTGGCAGTGGGTTAGCTGCTTCAATGGCAGATGGTAGTGTTTGTAGCAGGAATAGTGGTATTATTATTAGTGTTCCTACTAGTGATAATAGTTAATGTTTACTAAATCCATACTGTCTGCATATATTCTACTAAGCACTTTATATGGACTATCTCACTAATCTTCACAAAACTTTGTAAAAATACATTTTCAAGATAAGTAAACAGATGCTTTTAGAGTAGAGCTAACTTATTTGGACCTGAAAGCTAGCAAACAGTGGAGCCGGAAGTTCAACTAGGAAATCTGTTTCTCAAATTTCTACCTGTAAGTCGTTCGTTGTACAGACAAAAGGAAAGGCAAAAGACATAGCTGCAGCAGAACCCCTAATGGCTTCAACAGTTTGAAGACCAGTGAGAACAGCATGGTAAAGAATGAGACCAAGTATAGTGCATTCATGTCAAATAGCAGTCCATGAAAAAGGTACTCTTAGCTCCTAAGAATAGGACTGCCATTATAAAAATACTATATAAGTGCCTAATAACTTTACATTTTGTGGAATACTTTCTAATTTGTCATTGCATTGATACCATATAGAACCCTCAAGTAGACCATATGTTTATCCCCTTCTAAGGGCTTAGAGCTGAGACCCACAACAGTAACTGGCTGTTCCAAAGTGATACAACTTACCAATGAAAGTGGAACTAGAACCCCTGTCATCTAACTCTACATCTAGTGCCCTTTCCATTAGTCTATTCTGCTCTCTAGGTATGAAAGAGTCTTGATTATATGCTAGTATTTCCTACGTTAGATAGGTACAAAGCAATTTCATGTTTGAAAATAAGTATGGACAAAGCAGGAAAGAATATCCAATGGAATAAAGACAGTCTCTTCAGCAAGTGCTGCTGGGAAAACTGGACAGCAACATGCGGAAGAATGAACATGGACCACTTTCTTATACCATACACAAAAATAAACTCAAAATGAATGAAAGATCTAAATGTAAGACAGGAAGCCATCAAAATCCTCAAGGAGAAAGCAGGCAAAAACCTCTTTGATCTTGGCCGCAGCAACTTCTTACTCAACATGTCTCTGGAGGCAAGGGAAACAAAAGCAAAAATGAACTTTTGGGACCTCATCAAAATAAAAAGCTTCTGCACAGCAAAGGAAACAATCAGTAAAACTAAAAGGCAACCGATGGAATGGGAGAAGATACTTGCAAACGACATATCAGATAAAGGGTTAGTATCCAAAATCTATAAAGAACTTATCAAACTCAACACCCAAAAAACAAGTAATCCAGTGAAGAAATGGGCAAAAGACATGAATAGACACTTCTCCAAAGAAGACATCCAGATAGCCAACCGACACATGAAAAAATGCTGCACATCCCTCATCATCAGGGAAATACAAATCAAAACCACAATGAGCTACCACCTCACACCTGTTAGAATGGCTAACATTAACAACTC